CTCGGCGAAATTTATATTCCTTTCCGAGATCATTTATTTACATAATAAAATAATAAAACCAGATTTGGCTCCTTTGTATCCCACCTTTCATATTTGCCCCCTCTGCTCATTTGAATGTCTCCCTCCCTCTCGCACTTCTTGCGTCCGCATGTTGCCAATGTTTTTGAAAAACATACACTTTTTTAAAGCCACACACGCAAACAAACTAGATTCACATTACAATGTTGGTTGATCACCGAGAGGCGCTTATTTACCACTAGTGGTACAGTGACGTCTATGCTTAACACGATTTGTTTAAAAATGGGAATAGATAAGGGCAAAAAGTTGGCCCTTGAATAGGGTTCGGATGATTGACATTATTGTACCCCTCTGTAAGCATACACCCTATGGACGTGAAATATATTCAGATTTTCTGGATAACCGTAACTATAATGTATGCAACTTTCGGAATACATCTACGGTGAAACTGCAAAAATGCGTCTCGCGTAAATCTGTTGTTGTGTTTCGAAAGCTCCGCTACTATTTTATTTTTTAAAAGGCAACCGAACCAACGTCGTGGCTTGAAATTCGCACAAAATAATACCCTTAATGAAGAGAAGAAAAATCACGGAAAATCCTAAGAAATGACGTTCGGTAGTTTTCCATGCAAAAAATAAAGTATGATAGGAAATCTGCAAGGCCGCAAACCGAGATACGTATTTTTGCAGTTTCACTGCCGACATGTGACTGTTTCATGTAACGACTGAGATTTTCTACAGATTAGGCCGTGTTACCGTCTTGTCATGATAATCATGGATTTTTTTCTTGCTTTTTAAATAACATCAGGGAAAAGTTAGCGACTCTAGTATTAGGTATCAAAACTTACTCAGGGAATTTTCGCAGACGGAGTCAAGGAAAAATCAGGAACTTCTTGTATACTCATACAGAATAGAATCACTGAAGTCAGAAAAGTTGGGCATACCCCAATTTGCAACACACACAATGTGCAACCTAGATATTTTCTTTTCACCCGATTCAAAATTTCCTGCCCAGCGAATACACACGAAAAAAGAGGTTGGGGTTAAGCCCCAACTTTATTCTACAATTCCAGTTAATTGTGGGAGTACCCCAATAAATTACGTTAAGCCCCAACTTTATTCTACAATTCCAGTTAATTGTGGGAGTACCCCAATAAATTACGTTACCAAGCCAAATGTTGCAGTACTGCCCCAACTTGAGTTGCTGTACTACCAAAATTAATTGGAAAAATATCCGTAACACCCAACAAATTAAAATAATGCCGTGCTAAAGAAAAACACCGTATGAGCATTTGAATGTTGCCAAATTGCCTCTCAGAAAATATTTATTTTTGAAGAAACTTATGAATATTTTACATTGAAATTTTCAGACACTTCAGACCAAATTACGAGCAAAATTTTCCGCAAAATCGGAAGATAATTGTTTCTTAATTTTCCCGAAAATTCGTGATTTCTCGTAGGAATTTGGCAACGCTTAAAGGCTCATATGACGTTCCTCCTTAGTGCGACAGAATAGTGCCAACATTTTTGGGGATATCTCCTAACACTTTCTTTCCGTGCATATTTTCAAGCAAGTGGCAACAACTTTTCAGAGGAACTCTTCGCCATCCACGCGCTTCTCGCGAGTCGGAAAAATTGCGAGAGCTGATTCAGTAATTAACATTTTCTCAGAATCCAGCCGGCACGCCGCGCCGCGAAGCGCGCGCATTTTAGAATTCAGTTGCGGATGCTGCGTCTCTACGAATACAGACGAATGCGTAAATTTATCTCGGCGATTTCGATTATTCCTGAGCGGAGGAGCAACCGCTGTTGGAGAATTCTCGCTCGGCCGACTCGATTGAGATGCAAAAATGATCGACAAAGCGTTTTCCCTGCGCCTCGTTAACCAATCTGAGGGGGATAATCCGCCTTTAACCCTAATTTCATCCACAGATGATTGAATTTTGAATAAACTCTCATCAGCTCCGCAGCAGGGCGTGTTCTTGCACCGCACACCCAGCAGGGAAAGTATTATTATGGCACTTGCCTTTATCATAGCAGGAGAAAATCGTGAGATCAAGTGAAATTTTTCGATTTGAAATTTTCATTTATTCTTGTCCTACAAGAGACAGGAATTAAAAGATCACACCTAAAAGGCCGAAATGTGAGCATTAAAAGATGTCTGTGAAGTTAGCACCCCGACTTTTAAAATTTCAAATTTTCTCTTTTGCTCATCATTGCTCATCATTTGCTCACCTCGAAAATCGCTTTCATTTTTTTTGCTCAGGCATGTACCCCCCAAAAATCGAACTTGAACTTTCAGAGAGGTCATTGACCCTAGCACCCCCACTTTGTCCGCTTGACCTAAAAATGGTCTCAAACGACGCAGAATCATTTGCTCACCTTTGCTCAGGCCTTCGTTTCCGTTGCCCGAATCCTACCTCCTCCCGAAAACGAATGGCGGTTAAACATAGTCGGGGCGCTGCCTTTGATGTCCCCCAAAATGCCGCCATTCGATTCGGAGGGGAAGTGGGGGGTGAGCAACGAAAACTAAGGCCTGAGCAAAGGTGAGCAAATGATTCTTCGTCGTTTGACACCAATTTCAGCTCAATCGGACAAAGTGGGGGTGCTGCCTTTGATGTCCCCCAAAATGCCGCCTTTCATTTTGGGGGGGATGAAGGGGTGAGCAACGAAAACTAAGGGCTGAGCAAAGGTGAGCAAATGATTCTGCGTCGTTTGAGACCATTTTTAGGTCAAACGGACAAAGTGGGGGTGCTAGGGTCAATGACCTCTCTGAAAGTTCAAGTTCGATTTTTGGGGGGTACATGCCTGAGCAAAAAAAATGAAAGCGATTTTCGAGGTGAGCAAATGATGAGCAATGATGAGCAAAAGAGAAAATTTGAAATTTTAAAAGTCGGGGTGCTGACTTCACAGACATATTAAAAGCGGCAAAATTAGGAGCAGTGAGAAAATTTGCACACAAATCAAAAAGTAGATGGAACCATCCATAATAGAATACATAAATAATGCTGAAAGCGAAATTTTTCAAACCCCTTCGTAATGGGTTTGTGAGGTAGACCCTTAATTTCCTTTAGCCGTGTAAAATTCAAAAATAAAGTAACGCCTTCTCCACCCTATAGCGGTGTCCTATGGATGGATAGATATACTTGCTCGCGGAGATGACGTTCAGGTAAGGGTGCATATCTAAGAGTTATGTGGAAAAGATTTGCTTTCTGTTTGTCAACGCTAAATAAAATGTCGGGGAAAGATTTTTCGAAAAGTTTCTCAATGTAGAGGGTTTATTATTTCAGATTTTCTAGTTGCTTTGAGTTACGCGGCAAAAACTGCACTGACAGAAACTTATTTTTTTTCTCTGGAAAAACTAAAATAATTTTCAGACTGTTTTCCAATATAAAAATATTTAAAGAGGGAATAATTCATAAACAATGACAAGAATGATTATAATATAGCACACATTTTTATTCCCATTTTGATTTACAGATATACTACCCAGTTCGCAAACTGATCGCAACAGTAGAGAAATTAAACAAATTTCCCCAAACAACAATCTCATAATGTTCGCATTTTATACCACATCATTCTCTCATCTTCCACGCCTGCGGCCGCGGCAAGGAAAGAAGAAAAATCTCGATTTCGCGCTATGCAAAACCACTACAGTCAACAATGCGCGGAGCAAAAAGAAAAAGTTATAGCAGAAAGACACTTGCATTAACACCAAACAAACAAACTGTGTCCGACTCGCAAGGTTGTCAAATCCTCAAAAATAAATCAAGCAAGTGTTAACAATATTACGGGGAAAATTTTGGTTGATTCTTGACTTGGCAAACTTGGCGGAGGGTTAATTAACGCGCGAGCGACTTGAATATTCAAGTGTGCATTTTTCATCAACTCCCCGTTGGCAGACGCCGGACCGCGCGCTCTATGCGTCTTAACAGCGACTCCGCTTCAACTCAAGTCGCCCCGGCGAGATGTGATAAATCCCTCGCAAACTTAACTTATTTAATTAAAACCTCTTGTTCCAGCAATAGAAAGGCCGACAGAGAACCCCCTTGCGGGCGCGAGTTATGAACTTGTAGAAACAGGGGTCGAAGGGGTGTCGCGACACTTGAGCATGTTTCCTTATCGTGTTTGCTGGTTTTGCGATAGGTCAAATTGGTCGGCTTGGCTCATAAATCGTATTTTAATCGTTGAATCATACAGATTTGCAAAAATCTTGTCAAATATGTGCTGATTGTAAAGGCCAGAAAACAGAGACAGTGGTTCAAATGGGCTTAATGGTTGGATGAAATGGCCACGTCTGACTAAATTGTGGCGGATATTCAATTTATTTTCAGCCGCAACAAGTTGCAATCCCAGCCTCGACTTGAGTCGAGAGTGCACCACCCTCTCATTAATTATAAATTGACCATTCAACCCAATAAATTGTGGCTGGCTCTAGAGAATTATGGTTCAGCCAAAACTAATCACAAATTATTTTGCCCGTGGACGGAAATATGAATTTATGAAAAAACAGCATGGAAATTGATGCCATCTGACGGCGATGTGTAAACTATAGTTTCTACTAATATACCGTGGTTTTTATGGGTGACGTACTTGCAGCAACCGGTTAAAAAGCGTGGCTTAGTAAAGAGTATAATGATATTCTGGAGGCTCCTCATGACGATAGTCGATTTGAGTCATATTCGTTCATCTCTCACGGGTGCACAAAATGTCCTGTTTTTTTTTCACTTAAAATCTCGAAGGCAAAAGGACAAGTAGGTAATAATGACAAAATAAGAATCGTTGAGGATACAATTTCATGATTTATTAATTAGCGAGATCAAAAGAAACTGGAGTTATCAGTGTGAGAAGTAACAATGGTACAATGGTGTCGCTATTAAGAGGCGTTCCTCTAACTTCCCGACATACTCAGGAAGTGATGCGAATACACGCAGCGTCGCTTCTTTTCGTTGATCTCCGATCCTATGGCCACGTCATATTTGCCTAGTGGCAAGGTGGTGGGCATGGTGGTGCGCATGGCTTGGGAGGAGCAGGGTCTAAATGACCGGGTTTGTCGGCTGAAGGCTGAGCGTGACCATGATGACCATGGCCTCCACCCATACCTCCACCCATACCTCCACCCATACCACCGCCCATACCTCCACCCATACCACCGCCCATGCCTCCACCCATACCTCCGCCCATACCTCCAGCACCACCCATACCTCCAGCACCTCCTGCACCACCTGCACCTCCAGCACCACCAGCGTCAGGCGCCACCTGTTGGACGGTAATGACACTTGGCCCGGCCTGCTCGTTGATGGCGGGCGCGTCGAAGGAGTCGAAGACAACGGGGTTGAGGGAGAAGACGTTTAAACGGGCCTCCTTCTCGTGGTTGACGACGGTGGGCTTCTCGAAGTAGTCGATCTCGACGGGGGAGGCGGCGTGCTCGATGATCTTGGGGGCGGCGCCGAAGTTGACGACGAAAGGCGCCGGGAGGGGCTGTTCCAGGGTCACGGCCTGACGCTGCGGGAGGGGCGCAAATCCGCACTGGACGCTGGTCGAGTCCCGGTTGTAGTTGCCGGCCGAGAGTCGGAACCGCTGTGGCTCGCCGTGGTGGGACCAGTGGGGGTTCCGCCGCACTCGGAGGTGGGCCCCGCTGCTCGCTGCCACCAGGGCGGATATCAAGAGGAAGCACTTCATGGTGGATCTCGTTGTGGTTGAGGATCGAAGTGAAAGTGACTCTGGGGAGGATGCGTTGAGTATTTATACGGTCCAGCGCATGCTCTATCGAATGCAGATCGGCTCTCTATCACTCACGCCCACGCTGTGACTATCTCGACGATTTCCTTATTGCCACTGATTCGATGATTGGTTTTGGCAATCTTTGTCTAGTCAGCCGCAGTACCACGAGCCGAAGAAACCGCGTTCTGATCCGAGTAGGGATCGAATCGTTTGTGAGTATCATGGACTGAGAAAATTCAACGCTAAATTTCTCAATTAATGACTTAAATGGAGTGTCATTATTCTTCATTTCTATTTTCATGAATCAAGACACGTCGATGGTAAAGCTAAACATTTACATTTACGAAGTGTCAGATTTTCGGTCAAGTTTTACTTCTGTAAAGGATAGCTGATCACCGTTATTAGTCAATCGAGGGGTAAAAAATTTTACAACCAAAGGGGGGAGATCAATGAAAGTAACTCAAGAGCAGAAATTTTTAAACATCTTGGTCGAAATCATTGCTTTAGTATGGTCTCCGTCAATGTGCGTGCTATTACTAATTTTTTAAGGGCGAATAAGTGATAGAATACTACACCTACGTTCCACGTGATCATCCTCATTAGGGTAATAAAATTTGGCAATTTACGCAGCAATAATTCGTCACCTGCCAGGCAAAGTATCACAAGCGCCATGCGACGTTTAAAAATTTCCGCCGCCATTTTATTTTTTTACAGAGAAATTGTTCAACGAAGCTGTCCGAAAATTTCACTGAATTTTCTTTGTGCTGCCGATAAAATTTAGTGAAATTTCCAAACAGATTCAACCAACAATTTCTCAGTAAAGAAATGAAATGGCGGCGGAAATTTTTAAACGTCGCATGGCGCTTGTGATACTTTGCCTGGAAGGTGACGAATTGTGCTTTTATGTGAAGAAAATTTCTGGATACGCCGGCTCATCCACGCCGTTGACCACTTGTAGCGCCCTCTAAGAGACATTCCCTATTTTTACAAAGAAAAGAAAAAAACAAAAACAAGAACAGAAATCTTTTCGGCGGAGCTCCGGTAGTGAAGAGTAAAATAATCAATTTAGTGACAAATCATTTTGGGATCCCACAATATATGCTGCTTGTGGTATTTAATTGGATTTTAATTTGGATTCTTCTGCTTTTTTTTCTTTTGTCTTTCCTTTTTTGTATGTTACAAACCATTTGATTGCTTCGATACCTAACGCGAAGTCTCTGACACATGTGGTTCATCTCGGACCGGTCCAGGGTCCACCCGAGATTCCACAGCCGCGCTTGCTGTTTTTTTTTTCTACAAGAAAAAAAACCTATTTGAGGAAAAGTACCTCCTAACGACCTATGTTGCTTCTCTCTGAACAGCTATTATACTTCAAAACATTAAAACCACATCTTGAGTTTTTGGAGTCAAAGTAATCAAAGTTCATACACAGAAAAGGAGAAGTATCATGTAAAATTATTGACATTTTTGGTAGTTGCCAAGCACTGGAACTGAGAGACCCCTCACATTTTACCACATTTGGTAGAGTATAGAAAAAGTTGATAAATCATCGATATTACGGTAAAATTTTTGGATAATAGTAAAACAGCAGTAACATGACAAGCGGTCGGCACAACCGGTTAAGTTGATCGCTAACTATGATAAAGTCCAGGCATTTTGACGGGAGTTTTTCCGGACTATAGCGCCCTCTTTGCAAGAGTCTGGATACTTTAATCTTCAAATTTTTAAAATTGATCAAGTTCCATTTTACATTGCCGTTCCTCCGACGGAGTAGTGTAACTCCGTCCGAGGGTTGCAAAATTGACTCAATCGATTCTATTTTTCACGAAAATGTATACTCATGCAATTACTGTCCGTTTGTCTGATTTTGGCATGAGATCAGAGGGAAAATCAGTGCAATTTTCAGTTTGTATTGCTCAAGATTCTCCTGGTAGACATTCAATTTGCGAGGGAATTTGGCCACATTGATATGTACTTCTTTCTTTCATGAGGGAAATGACGACAAACGCGATCGCAAATTTTGGCAACAATGTCTACATATTTCGGTCCACTTCTCACTTCCATGTTTGGAATTTTTTTTTCGCTCATTACTCCAGTTTTCCATGCGGCGGGGCAGCGGGACACGACAATGAGCCCGTACTTAATTCACACGCAGACCGAAGAATGGATCGCTCCGACCACCGTGGCTCATCCCACAACACTCGCTAATACGCGCGAGGTGGCATCAAACCAAACAAAAGGATGGCCAAATGATCAAATGATTACTTGATGATGGAGTGAAACGGTGTTGCCGCATTTTGATTGAATATAATAAAAACGGAAGTGTTGTAATGATACGAAAAATTATTACAATCCACGGAAAAAATTATATAGTGCTGAGCACTAACTGTTTAGATCACATGGAGCCAGCAGCCAGCTAGTATGGCAGTAGCGCTGAGCCCTGAAACTTTTGGGTCCAGCCCTACAGACTACAGGTCTCAGCAGGACTGCCATATCAGCTGGCTCCATTTAATATAAATAGTTAGTGCTCAGGACGGTATCGTTTTTTCCAGCCCAGAACACTGTTCATTTTTCGGGTAGTTCCTATGGCAGAGATTGAATAATACTTCTTTGATTCCTCCCAAGAAGTAAACAGCCATCGATATATCGAACAAACTCTGCTAAAATACTATAGTTTTGTTTTTCCCTCTTTATAAAAATAGAGATACAACAATATAGAAGTAACTTCAGCTTTCTATTGGTGAAAAATCTCTCCCAAAAATTTAACAAGGTTTTCATCTTGTGAAGTTGATGGTGTGAAAATGGAAAGTTTTTAACCTATTAACTAGAACTATAATAATTGAAGCGCTGGGTGCAGAAAGGGCATTTCTTGGTTGCGGTGTCTCAACATCTCGGCTAACCTTTCATCCATTATGATTAAGGCAAATGAAAGTACTTCGTTGTAACTTTCACTGAATATTCTCCAGGATTTCACAATACTGAAAACGTAAAATTTCGGAAAATTCGGAGAAAATTTAATTCTCGAAAATAAAAATTAGCACTGGAGATTTTGAAACACCCCAACCGAGAAATTCCCTTTCCCTATCCATCACCGCAATTCGTAGATCATTAAGAATGTATAGTATTGCCCTTAAAGCGTCCTTTCATTTCAATATCACACACGGATTTTCCTTATCATGGTAAGGGGAATTTACATGCGAAAGGTTGAAATACTGCGAAACGTGAGGCAGCGATTTTGTTTGCCAAATCATATACTGTTGTTTCCCCAAGTTCACCCTTCGTAGTGAAGTTTGTGTGAAGGTCGTTGTGTCATCGAGTTTAAAGACCCCCAATTTGAACAGTAGGTAATCATATTTTCAAAAGTTCTCGTCAAAAGCTGAGAAAAATAAAGTTCCTAAATGCCTCAGTGCGCGGAAAGTTTGGGAAGTTGCTTTTTGTGTACTTGTTCTTTTTATTTTCTTTTTTATTCGATCTGATGAATGACGGGGTTTCGGCCACCCTTCATCGAAAACTGACATGCGCGGATGTCAAACTGCACGCTATTTTAATTTCAAATTTGAGAGCATATGTTCAGTATGATGATCAATATGGAAGGAAGTAAGTAAAGTTGTTTGGAAAACAGAATCTACAGAACCTAATGATATTTGGATTTTATAATATTTGTATGATTTAATGTGCTCGATACTAGATGGCCTGACAAACAGAGCTATACCTTGGTCGTTCGTAGAGGAAGAAGAAGAAGAAGAAGAAGAAGAAGAAGAGAAGAGCAGGAACAAGAAAAAGAAGAAGAACAAGAAAAAGAAGAACAAGAAAAAGAAAAAGAAGAAGAAAAGAAGAAGAAGAAAAGGATAACAAGAAAAAGAAGAAGAGGAAATAGAGGAAGAAGTATAAAAAAGGAGGAGGAGAAGAAGAAGAAGAGTAAGAAAAAGAGGAAGAAGAGGGGGAAGAAAAAGAGGAAGAAGAAGAGGAGGAGGAGAGGATAAAGCGAATCATAAGTAGGTATATGGACAAAGTATTCTATACGGGAATGAATAAATAAGAAACGAAGTATAAGATTCCTTGACTGGCAACTTGGCACGGGTAACGTAAAGGCACGGAAAGTGTCGTGAGGAGCAGGACAAAAGCTTAAAAAGCTTATAAGTCATGCGAGCTTTTAATCTTTTTCGTCGGTTTCGCCGAGACTGGGGACCGAGGAGGGTTTTAAAACTTGCGAATTTCAAGATCCTACAAAGCCTGATATATTTGAAGTAACTTTTCTCCACTTCCTCCCCCTAAAAAAGGTAGAAAACGAGGAAAAAAGCTTGTGAGAATTTCCAGCTTGTGAGGGTGTACTCCCCACCGGAGGGACGAATCAATTTATTTCCTTTCAACAGCCTGCCTTGAATGGCGATTAGTAAGCTTTCAGCGTCATTCTGGACTTTTTAATTCATAGAAAATGACAGAAAAACTTCTCCGATGGGCTTTGAGTGTACGACGACGTGGGGTATGAAGATCTTATTTCAGAGATGAGGCCTAAGCAGAAAAGAGAAGGAAGAAAAAAACGAAATGTAAAACGGTGAGAGTTTTCTCTAACGAATCCACCTTATACTTTGTTTTCGAGTGAAACACGGATAATTATCACTTATCGACCTGATTCGTGAAAGTTTTATTCGTTACAGCAGAGCTTTTTCCGTGATATTACGCAAACATTGAAGAGATTACATATTTTAAATAAGAAATCTGTACACAAATGCTTTGAGTCATGGACAACAAATGGAACATTCTGCAAACCGACTAACCATAGCACTAGCAGACGCTTTGTTCCCCCAAAACACTTCATTTTCTCCCCTTAAAAGCTACCCTAAAGACTCCGCAAAACAATAAGATAAGTTCTAATCATTGAATGGAAAAGGAGAGGGCTACTTCTATAATATACGGTTCATCTTGCAGCTCATCAGACTATCCAGTCTCTCTATTAA